CCTTTCGTATTTCGAGTAACGTATTTGACTCATTTGAATCATTTTGGTGTATTGGAGCGGTGGGCGCTGATGGGTTAGCAACCGCACTAATTTGCCGAAAATTCATTGAGTCGACGATGGCGTCCGCAATCGCAACTTTATCTGCTATATCGCCCTTTGATGCAATGACTGCGGCTTGGGCGTGTGGTGGTAAGCGTGAGGCCCACAAATCTACAAGTACGGTTCCGCAGAGGGCGGTGCCGGCTACCCGCCGCATTTCACTGAACAGCTGGCTAGGTTTTAGGTCACCCAGTTGCACGCGTCGTTGCTGGCTGTCTGCGAAGTGCGCTATGAGTTTAGATTTAATGTACTCGTAGCGATTAAGCCGCGTCGTGGAATCGATGATTGCCTTCAACTCCGTTAGTTTGTTCGGCGGTACCTGTGCCATGACTAGATTGTACTTCCTCGCGTCATGTGTTACTCCGGTGGCCGCGAACCAAAACTCGAGGGACAAAAAATAAGATTCGATGTTGGTATCATTCATGTTGGGTGGACTTATGCGTGGTACCATGGCCGCGTCCACGTGAAGCTCGGTCTTATGTGCATCGATTTCTCTGGGTAAAACATTATGAGCTTGGGTCAGCTGCGTTGGCGGTTGAAAATTTGCCGAGGGTGTTACTTGTGCCTGTTTAAGGTTTTCTCCTTGATATTCGATTGCAAGATTGGCTACGCTTCGTCGGGGTCACTGAATCCGAAAAGAGAAACTGGAGGTAATTTGTTTAATCTTACGTACTCGCAAAAACGTGTCTTTATTGTTCCACCAGAAAAATTAGAAGAAGGAAAAGAATAAAAAGGAAAAAAGGTGCTTACAACTAAAATACAAAAGGCAGTAGAAAAAGGGTTGCTGATTGACTAGTTCTTCATAACGCAACATAGCGTTGCCACATATACATGTATTTCAAGTCCTTAGGATGGGTTAAATTATGACTTTTTTCTTTAAAATGTTTGGTTTTCTTACAAATTATGAGATGGATACATAAAAAAAGGAAATTTGATACATTTTTGGCTATGTCGGTGATACATTTTCTTGAGACGGCGCGGCAACACTGCTTGCAACGCCTATGGAAACTAGAAGCCATCAGTACTCTAACCAAATCGATTTAGCCGGAACATCGCATGTGCGACGAGATTTTCATGAAAACTGTTCGTCAAGATAACACTGGGCGCATAGTAGTAACTATGCCTTTTAAAGATGGCCCACTTGTCTCGGAGACTCCTTCGATGTTGCTTGCCGGCGATTCCTCGCGCTTGAGAGACGCCTTCTACATTCGCCCGAAACTCCTCCGCAGTACATTGCCTTCATGGAAGAGTACGAAGGTCTTGCCCACATGTCAGAAGTAGCACAACCCAACTTAAAGGAGCCACACTAATACATTCCACATCATTGCGTGCTAAAACCTAGAAGCACCTCGCCTCGTGTCGCACCTCATCGCAAACTTCATTGAACGACCTATTACTGGTGGGCCCAACAATCCAACAAGATTTATACATGCTACTACTGCATTTTTGTTTGTATCGTTACGCCAGCCCCGCAGACGTGGATAAAATGTACAGGCAATCACTTGTAGATAATAACTCTCGACAATTCCAATACATACTTTGCCGAGCTTCCCCAGATTCAGATATCAGCACGTACCAGCTGAACACGGTCACATATGGCACAGCCTCGGCTCCATTACTCGCAGTACGCAGCCTCCATCTGGCGGACCAACACATGGCAGAGCTTCCGATCGGCGCTTTAGCAATAAAATCATCTTTCTATATCGACGATATTTTATGCGGTACCGAAGACGGGAATGAGCTATGTACCCTTAAGCTTCAAGTTGTTGAAGTACTCCGTCGCGGGCAATTTCCATTGTCGAAATGGCACTCAAATCACCCTGAAGTTATGGAAGGTCAAGCCACAATGGAGCTCAGTATGATCGACGATTACGTGACCAGCGCATTAGGAATAACATGGCTCTAACGAAGTAACGTCAGTCACAATGCGGACAATATTATCTACCGCCTCATCCCTGTTTGACCCATTTGGCGTGTTATCACCACAGGTGATCACAGCCAAGATAATACTGCAAGAGCTTTTGCTATTGAAGCTCGACTGGGAAGAGTCCGTTCCCCAACTTCTGCAGCAAGCTTGGACAAACTTCCTAATATCTTTAAACGCGATTTCATCACTCACGGTACCGCGTTATTGCTTACAGCCCAACGCTCGCAGCATTCAACTACATGGGTTTCGCGACGCATCGATTCGTGCTTATCGCTGCTCGGTATATGTACGCACTGAAGACTTACGCGGTCACGTTGTAGTTCAGTTGCTGACGTCGAAGTCGCGAGCCGCCCCAGTAAAAAAGCAGTCGCTCTCCAAACTTGAGCTTTGCGGTGTGCATCTTCTGGCTTGCCTTTATGCCAAAGTGAAGGACATCTTTGCTAACAAACCCATAAATCGTTACTTTTGGACTGATTCCCAATTGGTGCTGCATTGGCTGCAACAGCATTCAATTACGCTATCAACTTTGTGAAAAATAGAGTATCCGATATAGAGGAGTTGACCGATGGTGGACAATGGAGACACGTTCCAACGCGCGATAATCCTGCGGACCTTGTATCTCGAGGTTATTCTACTGCATATCTTAAGCCATCAAATTGGTTTTCCGGTCCAGCCTTCGTACTTCAGGATCAGACCAAATGGCCAAACAACAAGGCTCCAGCAGATCTCGATGCGAACATTATTAATGCAGAAACAAGTAAAACGACTTTCACAGTAATTAGCTAAACTAATCATGTTCTTGTTCTGTCGGCCGCTGTGGTGTAGTGGTAAGCAGTGCGCGCTTTCACTCATCAGCACCTGGGTTCAAGCCCTGGTCAAAGCAACATCGCAAAAAAATATAGAAAAAGGTTTTTTTCTTAACAGCGGTCGTCCCTCGGCAGGCAATGGCAAACCTCCGAGTGTATTTCTGCCATGAAAAACAGCTTCTCATAAAAGTACAATCGCCGTTCGGAGTCGGCGTAAAACTGTAGGTCCCTCCGCTTTGTGTGACAACACAAGGCGCACGCCACAAGCCGGAGGAGAAGCTCGGCCAAACACTAACAAATGTGTAAGCGCCAATCTATTATTATTATTATTAATCATGTTCTTGACGTCATTGATGGCATTTATTCTTATCCTTATTGCATACGTCTCGTCGCCTGGCTATTTAGGTTCTGTGACTCGTGCAGGAAGCAGTCAACATTCACTAAACCATCGCCTGAAGAATTGCGACGCGCGTCGCATTGCATAGTATGGCACGTACAACAGCAGCAGAAAGTCAAGGGCCCGCTACCAAGAGAGCGTGTCCAACCAGCACGACCTTGAACAATATGGAGTGGATTTTTGCAGACTAAATACTTGCTTACGAAATCGAGGAAAGTCGCCTACCAAATCATACTAAGCTGTTTTCGTTTGTCTTGTCACTAAAGCGGTTCACATTGAGTTGGTCTCGGATCTATCTACGAAGCCGTTCCTGAACGCCCTCAAACGTATGGGCCATGTGAAATTTTCTCTGACAATGCCACGAATTTTGTAGGAGCATCCAACCATCTACAAGAACTCAAGCAGTTTCTCTTTAACCCCGAAATGAAATCAAAAAATTTTGTTCCCCCTAATTTATTAATTTCCATTTTATTCCCCCCAGCGCACCCCACTTCGGCCGCCTCTGGGAGGCAGCTGTTAAAAGCGCAAAGGGACCGCTATATCGGACATTGGCTCATACAAGATTAACCTTTGAATAACTAAGCACCGTCGCCGTGGAGATAGAAGTCATACTAAACTCGCGCCTACTCTCCCAGCTGTCATCAGTCCCTAACGACTTCGAAGCACTCATTGCTGGGCATTTTTTAGTCAGTTCCTCGCTACGAACTCTACCCGAACCCTCACTGGAAGATCGAAACATCTTCAACTTGGATCGGTATGATATGATCACGGCTATTAAGCAACGTTTTTGGCGGCGCTGGTTTTCGGACTACGTCAACGAATTGCGCGCACGGGTGGACGAATCCTGCACCCGACATGACAGAAAACACATTAGTCATTATCCACGACGACAACATGCCGCCATAACGTTGTACTTGGACGAGATGGTCACGTTCGAGTTGTGCACCTCCGCACTGCCAATGGTACCTGCTGTCGGCCTATACATAAACTTGGTAACCTGCCAGAGTCTGCAAAGCGGATCTTTTCAACGGGGCCGAGATGTTGGATCACCCTTTAAGCATTTGATGATTACTTAAATTACTTTAGACTAATTCACTCACTCGAAACAACTTAACACCACTCATTGTAAACATGCATACACACACACACGCACACATAGTTAATCTTACTTATTGTTGCACTCATAATTCTCTTTCTTCTTAATATTTCGCTTGTACATAATTGGCAGGCATTCCAATAAATCATTAGACATCTATCGCTCACTCCAAGCTGCTCGTTGTTTTAATCTTCTCGATATTGATAGATATACGCTTTGACAATTTCGCACACCTTCGTATGGTAAGGATTGAGGTTTGGTTTGGAGAATATACCCCCAAACATCCGACTTTCCCGCAAGCAAGAAAAAGGCTTCTTGCATCGAACAGCGTTGAAACACCGAATACGGGACAAATACAGGGCATTAAAAGATATACAGAACATTTGGCGTCCCGTATAAAATAAATAAATTACCAGGATAAGGGGTTAATAAAGAGGACTGTCCCTTATAATACAGGACAGATGGTCACCGTACCTATATCCAGTTCTCTGGTCACGATACTCATCCTACAAGTTCACGAACAAACCCTTCACGGGAGAGCGCCAACTTATTCTTCAGACTCTCAACTGTAACAGTTCTTCTTATTCAATAAAGGATTATCTTGGTAGTATTATTGGCAACAAATGATATAATCTTATAATAAAACAGTTAAGTAAAAAATAATTTAGAACTCACCATCGCCATTAAAAAATACCATGTATACGCCTATAACACTTGTTATCCAGTGATACGTAATCCTCATTTTCAAGTCGAACTAATTTTAAACCAAGATCCCACAGCAAAAGAAGTAGTCAATAAACCATTGCAAAATGTTTGAACTTGCATTTATTTGTTGATATTTTGGGTGGTATGGTTTGCCTTTAACGTGTGTATTTGTTTTAGTTGTTTAATTGTTAAACATTCACGACCACCCACACAGCCGCTTCATTTTAATTCATCTGTCTAGGGGCAAAAAATTCATTATTAGTAAGTGGGCTTTGTGAAAAGTTCTTAAATGTATTACTTCAGGCCTATTCTGCGTTGGTAACAAAAATTTTGCTACCGGTTAGTAAAGTTACTGTCAATTTTTAAACCATTTTCGTATTCTCCACACTCTTTTAACCGGTAAATTTTGTTACCATCTCATGAGCAGGTAACAAAATAATGCCCCGTGAAATATGAAACACCAGAATATACACAAAACTCTATAGCTGAATTACTGAATAAATTAAAACGGTACCAAGGTAAATAGAATTGCGGTTACAAGAAGTGGTGACAATTGTTGGTAACAAAATTAGCTTGTTACAAAATTTTCGGTTACAAGCAGAATAGGCCTGCTTGTGTGTTCATATATCTGTCAATGATTAATCAACCCTGCCAGCAAATGGGAGAGAAGTTTATCGCCTATCGCTACGATGTAATTCCTTCGTCACTATTGGAAGTTATCAAAGCAATAGTTACTCAATAAAACATCATTTCTGTCGCTTTTCTATCTTCTTAAAAATGCCCGAATGATTTTGACTCTTTGTTTTGAAGAAAAAGTTTTGAAAATTAACAAAGCAAATATTGGAAGTTCATTCAAGTAAAATTATACATATTTTTTATTTTCTCAATTCTTTTTGATTTTTTTTTATTTTTATTTTTTTTATTTATTCAAGTCTATGAAATACAGGTTTCTTACAGACTAAGAGCTAATAAACAACGTAAAAACTTAACAATATATTACAAAACTGTATTCAATATGTTAATAAGTTCATACTTAGATATTGAGAAATCAAACGAAACAGAGTTCGAGATCCTGTTAAGTTCATTGATAGCTCGAGCGATGGGAGCATTTCGAGCATAATCAGTTCTAAGAATTTGTTCATAGAAGGGTACAACAATACGCTGAGACCTCCGCGGGATGTTAAAATTAATCCGAGCGAGAAGAGATGTACAATCAATGTCACCACTAATAATATTGAAAAAGAAAGATAATGAAAGAATTACTCGCCTTGTCTCCAGCGTTTTCAAATTTATTAGAAGTAACCGCGAATTATAAGTAGGCATCGGCTCAGAGAAGTTTAATAAGCGTAGCGCAAACCTAAGAAATATTTTTTGGACCCTTTCAATTCTATTTACTGCGGAAATATGGTATGGTCTCCATATTATAGCACCATATTCCAAGTTTGACCGAACAAAGGCTGTATAAAGTAATTTAAGAGTATAAGGATCCGAAAATTTCGCACAATTACGCCTAATAAAGCCCAAAAGTGAGTACGCTTTAGCGATAATAAAGCTTATGTGGCTATTAAAAGAAAAGTTCGAGGTAAAGAAGATACCAAGATCCTTAGTTTCTTCTAAAGAATCTAAAACAGAGTCATCAATCATATAGGTGGAAGGCAAAACATTTTGTATCTTCGCGTACGTTATTTTGAAGCACTTTTTTATATTTAAGGAGAGGTGAGAGTTTAAGCACCAGACCTGGAGATTATCAATATCTGCCTGAACCTTATTAATGTCATCACGATTTTGAATATTAGAATATATTTTTAGATCGTCAGCATATAATAGGTATTTAGCGAAAGAGAAGCAACTGCTTATGTCATTTATGAATAACACAAAGAGCAGTGGGCCTAAAATGCTTCCTTGAGGAACGCCTGAACACGCTATAAAAGGTCGTGAGTTGGTGTTATCAACAGTGACCACACATTGCCTATTAGATAGATAAGATTTTATCCACTTTAAGAAAACAGAGTGAAATCCCAGGTGTTCAAGCTTACTAATTAGCACCACGTGTGATACTTTATCGAAAGCCTTGGAAAAGTCAGTGTATACGCAATCAACTTGAAGACCAAGTTGGAAAGACTCGAAGCAGTATTCACTAAATTCAGTCAAATTAGTAATTGTAGACCGATTTGGAATAAAGCCATGCTGAAATGGTGTTATTAGACTTTTGGTTGCAAAATATATTTTCTCTTTTACAATAACCTCAAAAAGCTTCGAGATGGTGGACAGCTTTGAAATCGGACGATAGTTACAAACATTATTCTTATTTCCACTTTTGAAAGTAGGAGTAATGCACGTAATTTTCCAATCTTCCACAAAATAGCCTGAAGCCAGAGACATATTAAAAATAATTGTAAGTGGTAAAATTAACGCTGGCGCATTTTTGAGCAAAAAAACCGAAATACCATCAATATCAGTTTTTTCTGAAGGCTTAAGACCCATTATTCCGTTTAAAACATCCTCAGATGAAAGTCTGAGAGATCCAAAATTTACGGAAGAAACATTGTCTCCAGAACCAGCCACAAATTCGGAGTTACTATCATCCAATATAAAATTAGAGCTAAAAAACTTCGCGAATAAATTTGCTGAATCAGTTAAGTTACTAGCAGATTCGTTCTCCAAGAATATAGCAGATGGAATACTGGAGATAGATTTTTTTGATTTGATGAAACTCCAGAATGATTTGGGGCTGGCATTTATACCTGACTCAACATTAAGTATATAATTTCTATAAAGAAATTTATCCAAACAGTTAAATTCCTTCATGTATTTCTGGTATGATGCATAAAATATAAAGTTACCAGTAGCCTTGTACCTTTTAAAGAATTTGTTCCTCAGATTCTTCAACTTCTTCAATTAACGTGCAACATTATACTCCATTGGGAAATTGAACCATTATCATTATTGTTATTATTATTATTTATAGTTTCACCATTATCATATTCGAATAACAAATAATAATATATTTTTAATGTTTACAGATTCGTTGTTTGATTACCTTTTTACAAAGTTTTGGAACAGCTTTTTAAAATGTTTATGAACTTTATAAAATATGAGCTGGAAATCTGAGCCGAAAGCAGGATGAAAATGACGTAACTCTGCGGCTGTGGTTGCAAGTTCAAAGGTATCCCAAATTGCCCATAACGTTTTATCAAAAAGTTAACCAACCCATGAATCTTCTTAAACACTTCCAAATTTATCGCACAAGTTACTCTTATTCCTATCGAAATAGTTCCTAATTGCTGTATCGCTTTGTTTCATAAAGACGTGACGACTTGGTGGAACAGTAGCGTTATCATCGGCGATGATTTTTACAGAAATGTCGTAACTTCCGCAATAGAAAATGCTGGCAGGGTGCACGTCAACTTAGGCTTAGAGCGAAAATATTTTGTTTTTGTATTTTCTTGTTCAGTTGTTTGACAGCTCACCGTCAAAAATGCCTCATAAAACAAATTAATGCAAAAAAAATGTTTACGTTAATTTATTTTATCTTCTCTTCTATATACATATGTAAAAATGAAATATCTTTCGTATGACCGCGATGCCTGATCCACAGTATACAACAGAGGTTCCCAAACATTTATTTCTCCTAGACCCCTTAAAAAATGTACTGGTTTCGGTGGACCCCCTACTAATATATTTCTAAATATTCCCAAAGCTCGTAAAAAAATGAAATGTGAAGATTAGATCTAACTATGTAAATTTGCATCGCGGGTGAATTCAAAAATTAACTCGGGAGTGGCCAAAAGAAAACTAAAATATTTTCTTTCTATTATTTTTTATTTCTATATATTAAAATAATGTGATTAAACACTTGCAAGATTTAAAAAATGGGGTCGTAAATCCATCAAAATACCCTCTCGCTCTGAGGAGTTATATTTCTTAAGAGCACTTCGAGCTCTAAGCTTCTTAAGCTCTTCGAGCTCTAAGCTTCTTACTTCTTAAGAGCACTTCGAGCACTAAGCTTTGCACGCCAAACTCTTAACTCAGAAACCGACAATAGGGATAAGAACGAGTCTATAAAAATCGATGACAAACAACCAAGCAAACAAGAAGCACAAACAGTGTTCCACTGTCTCATCCTCTTAAATGCAGGAGACTTACATTGCCGAACTAGTTCGGAATTAGTTAGAGGGCTGGCCAATGTCTTAAGCGCAGCTTGGTAAACCCCTTCCCCTCAACCTATGTTCCACCTCCTAGTCCTTGGCTTTGAGGATTGCAATTACCACCGCATGGAAGACCGAAGCATATTCCCCAACAGAAAAGTGAAGCTTATCCCCATTAACTTCGAAAAAGACTCCAGATCACGACCCAGAGTTAATTTTGGAGCCATCAGTGAAGATTCGACAATGTATGAGTCCGGTCTCAGTGATGGAATTAAACCAGCTCTCAGTCTCAGGGAACTAAACATTATAGAATCTCTTCAACAAAGGTAATAGTGGCGTACTATCCTGTAGTATTGAAAATACACAAATGCTTAAATCTCTACCGCCAGCAATTTCTGCCACGCCCCACTCAGTGTTATATAAACATCCGGCTCTTTTTAGTCTGCAGGTGACCTTTAGGGCATTCTCACGGATAAATACATAAAGTGACGGTTAGTGCAGCAATGCGTCAAGAGCACTATACACCACTCAAAATTTAAGTTAAATAAAGAGGCTATCAAACAACCATTTTGGTTCTTTATTATTGAAACTATACTAACTAACTATATATCGGCCGCTGTTGTGTAGTGGTAAGCAGTGCGCGCTTCCACTCCGCAGCACCTGGGTTCAAACTCTGGTCAAAGCAACATCGCAAAAAAGGTTTTTTCTTAACAGCGGTCGTCCCTCGGCAGGCAATGGCAAACCTTCGAGTGTATTTCTGCCATGAAAAACAGCTTCTCATTAAAATACAATCGCGGTTCGGAGTCGGCGTAAAACTGTAGGTCCCTCCGCTTTGTTTGACAACATCAAGGCACACGCCACAAATAGGAGGAAAAAGCTCGGCAAAACACTAATATATGTGTAAGCGCCAATCTATTATTATTATTATTATTATTATTATATTTTTTGACGTCAACGTAGACCCCCATCGAGTCTCGCGAGGAC